AGAGCGGTGCTGCTGGGTCAAAACACGGCGGTTCGTGACGTGAGGCAGAGTTTGTATGGGATTGTTTGAGCTTTGGAAAAAAACTCCACAGGGTGCCTTTTTTTTTTCAGAAACGTGTTCTTAACTGCAGGTAGATGGTGGAGTTGCCAGGAATAGTCGTCGCTTGCTGGATACGCCCTGAGTAAATCACAGCTCTCTGGTGGCTCCATGCCGTTTGGCTGGACTTGGGTCGCTGCTCATTACTGTGATGAACCTGCAGTTGCTTTGAAAAGTCTTCCTTATAATTTGTTAGTCATAGGAGGAAACCGCTGGCCTCTCTGTCGAGTAGTGAAAAAAAGTTTGCGTTCTACTGAAGTTTTACGGAAAGTGTGCGTTGTGTAAGGTGGCTTTCAGAGAAGACGTCGCTCTAATGTATCTCCTAAATATATAATTAGATAGATGAAATATGTTGATTTTATAACTGTACTTTTAAATTGCTCTGCGTAGCTTGGTTTGGTGTTTAGTAATGTTTTCAAGTATCAGTCGTTGTGTCAAGTCAAACCAGTGGTACAGCGTGGTGGAGGTGACGCAAAGTCACAAGAAGGAAAGTTTGAGGATTGCTGCATAAAGTGATGGCATGAATGTTAAAGGCCTCCGTAGTCTTGGCTCACTGAATCCAGGGTAGGAAAAGCTACTAAGACAACGTGACTACCTGTGATCGGGTAAGGAAACCGCTCCTCCATATACTCCATTGGAAACCCGTGGTTACAGCTGTTGGCACCAGGATGGCACCTGCGGGCCTCCAGGTGAGACTGGAGTCCTCTCTTGTCCCGTGCACCTGTATCACACAGGGCAGTTTCTGCCTGGAAGACCTGGTGGTCTAAAGGATGGGTAAGCGAAGCGAGAAGGGTGGAAGAGAGGTGCAGACACAGAAGAGATTCATTGGCCGCTCTACCAAGATTTTTCCTGGCTGGTGTATTTAAAGTCGAGTGGGATGGCTGTAAGAAGAACTCAAGTTTCACCTTTCCGTTCCTTACATTGCTCGACTGGAGTTCCCCTGACACCTCTTTCCGTCTGGCAGTTTTCTGTGCAGCGTCAAAGATCTCCATCTTCTTCCCAATTTCAACTGAATGCATTCCTATCCGTGTAAAATGATATGTCTCCTTTAATATCTGTTGTGCAAAGTTGGTTGGCTTCAGCTGAGAATCGTGCAAGGAGGCTTCGCCTCTCACCCGGTTACTGAGTGTGTCGTCACTGCGCAATGGCTTTGAACCAAAGGCTCATTAATGCTGATGGGGCTCCCGAGGTTTAGAAGGAATTTCTTGAAGCAAGACCTTTAGTTGAGGTCTGATTTTTGCAAGCGCGGGCTGAGAATGCAGTTGTGTGTTCAGTTGTTAGTATTTTGCTTTTCGCCTCGGCCGGTTACTTTCTAGTTTATGAGTGCCCTTTGAATTGGACATTAAAGGTGTGTCTGTAAGACAATGGTGTGGTGGCATGTTTGTGTACTGTAGAACAGGAGGAAGATCTCAGCACAGACTTTCTTGTTCATGATACTTCTTTGTGTATTTTGTGAAAATGTCATCATGGGTGGGTTTGTGTGTTTCGTTTTTAGTTGGTGAAGTTGGAAAACGTTTTGGGCCAACTTAACAACTATAAGGAATTGTTAGCTCGTTAGTTAAACTAGAAATGTAACTTCAGCTGTATGCTCACTGTTTGTGTGACAGAGCTGGAGCTGCTCCTGTCCACCGGCTTGGTTGTGGACATGTTTCTTTGGCATTGTAGGGAGAGAGGAACACAAAAAGGAAACAGTGCCCAAAGGAAAAGTCGACTCAAGTCAACTCTGTCACCTGTATGGGAGTCTAAAGGAGCAATGCATGCATACAGCCCCAGAAAACTCAAGCTTAGCCTCTTGCTCAGTAGAGTGATTTGTTGGCTTTGTATTTATATATCTATTTCTTTACTAGAAGGTTCAAAGCTTAGAAATAGGGAGCAGAAAAGAGCTGTTGAAAGGCATTTTTGAAACAGGATCCCTTCTCGTATCTTAAGCATCAGCTGTTCAGGGAACCGGCATGGTCTTCTCAGAAGGTGCGTTAGGAAGTTGTGCTTTCCAAGGTTACCTTCTCAGGATGGCAGACTTTCAAGTGAGGTAATACTTTCTTAGGCTGTTTTCTTATCTGTGGCCAGAGAGTTTGCGCGCTTAATGTGTACACAGTACATGACTCCAACTTACTGGCTAAAAAAATTACTTTGATTGAGCCATATGTGCTTTGTTCCCATAGCTAAAAAACCCCAGTATTTGGCCTTTAAGTCAAAGTCTCATTATTACAGGTGCTATTTGACGTAACCTTCTGGAGGGAAGACGGGATGCATTTAGTCTCTCTCTGACTTGAGTTCAGGGGTGGCACAGTTGTGGTCCTTGTGGTCTGATCTTTGTCACACAGGAGGGGACACCCTGAGCTCCATCCACCAGCTGGGATGCAGTGCATTGCCCTCTTCGTAGTCCTGGGACTGAGTGCTCTGTTGATGCCGTGGTCCTATCTGGTATGGGTTGCCTTGGTGTGAAGGCCAAGAGATGGAAATAGGGAGGAAGGGTAACACCAGGTTTGGCCCTGGTAAAAGTCTGGCACACTCAGTAGGAACTCAGTAAAGCTCCTGCATTCTGTGATTTGGTTTAATGAAAGAAAAAAAAAAAGTAAACCTAGGCTTTAATTGTTGTTACTGCTTTCAAAGCTATGTCCAAATTGTCCATGAAGCAAATGAATAAAAGCAATAAAATACAGGCAGTGTACAGAAAGACGTGTTTGCTTTGTTAGCTGAATTAGCTGGACTCAGAGTAGCACTCGGCTTTTAGAGTGTTGTGATGCTGAGGGTACCCGTTTAGGAAGAGGACCCGGTCTACACAGCAGAGTTTTGCTGGGCAGGAGCTGTAGCTCCTGAGCCTTAGAGCAGTGCTGGCTCTGGAGTTACCATTTCCTCAGCAAGAGCACGCTCACTGACGTTGCTTTTACTGGTATGTATGTGCTGTGCTTTTATTGTAGCAGCAAAAACCACAGGTGACTGGGTTAATCATGTCTATACTGAAAGTGCTATTATAGGGCAGTGATTCAATTAATCTCTTATCTGAAAAGACAACCTATGGGGCTTGTTTTTCCTCTGAAGAGGCACAGCTGGAATATGAGAATAGCATTTTCAGTGTCTTAGTGATGCCTGAACTCGTTTTAAAAACTTGAATTATTAGAGGTTGTCGAAAACAATTTTTTAAAGTTTTCGGCACGTACCGCTGTAATGGAAACAGATTAGAGACATGCTATTTTTTTCACATTTAGTTTTATGTGTTCATTCAGCTATAGTATTTTCCCAGCCCGTCTTCTGATGTGCTTGAATGCATTCCTGTTGAAGACAGTGCAGAGATACGTGGATCATTACTTTTTCCCTATAGCAGTGTAAAGGAAAATCTGTAGGAACTCATGACTTCAGTGGGTTAGCAAACTTTACCTCCTGCTGCACAGTCCTGGAAACAGAAGGGAATAAATGAGTCTCAAAATCATCTCTTGCCTTTACTTAACAAAGCAATCCGGACATGAATCCTCATTCCCAGATGTCTCAGTTGCTGTGGGAAGTTGCACTAGCTGATATATTAAGCAATAGCTATATTATGTTGCCTTTTATATTCACGGTAAAATTTCTGGCTTTTTGCCTTTTGTTTTTATTCTGAAGATTAAACAGCACTCTTTCGAAAAAGATTTATTTTTTTTTAGGGCCCGTATTCACCATGTTTCAGAGATGCAGAGAGTAAAACGTGCGCTGGTTGGTAGTGTGCATGCTGAACGAACTGTCTTTCTGTACATGGCCACACGTGGGGAGCAAATGGGGTTGCACATCAGGTTCGATGAAAGCAAGAGATTTAAATTCTTGGAGGGGATGAAAGATGCAGGAGGTTTGGGGAACCTGGAAGAACTGAAGAACTATGTTTCCTAATATCCACCTGTGCCTGAACTTCTGCAGCACTTATTTTTTGTCTGTCAGCAGTAGAATTCCAGAAACTATAGTAACAGCTTCCTTCCAGCTGAAGAGGGCTGGGCGTAATGAGCGTTTTAATGTGTCTGAGGAAAGTTCAGATGTCGGAGTGGATGCTCATGATTACACACATCGTGCTGGTCTCTTGGAGAGCTGTTCAGTTTTCTGCTGAAGGCTGAGGGATTTACAGCGTTTCCAAAGCAAGTATCAGAGAGCACTGTTCTGGTGAGGAATGAGGGATAGGCTTAATATCTTCCAGAACTTTTCACAAGAACAGTGGTGTTAACATGTAGTGCCCTGAAAGTCATGACTTTACGGCTGTGATTTCACTTCTGGTTATCCTGCAGGTCATTTAGAAATCCTGTCTATTAGTGAGAAAGAAAACTTAAAACGTTCCCTTCTGTCGTACTGTGGTAGGTGAAAGGAATCATACACGCAGTAAGATGTTTGGGAATTTTTCTACATCAAAGTTATAATTTAAGACCTTAATAACTACACGTCTGTTTTCTCTATTTACAGCATGGTGACAAGAAGACAAGTGGAGCTTCTTCCAAATCGGGAGAGAAAAAAGCAGAAGCGGCAGAGGTAAATTCAAGTATTTGAACATATTAAGAAGAAAAGTTGCTACTGAATTTCCTCCTATATGGATATTTGTCTTTTGATAGCAAAGTAGTAGTTTTCAGGTAATTAACTGGTGACTGTAGTTACTCATTATTCATTGAAGGATTGTGTAGTTTTGTCTTGTACTGCTGAGTACTGAAGTACTGAAAATACTTCTTTGCTCTGTTCATGCTTTTACAAATACTTCGTGTTAGTGTTGGTGGAAATGAACTCAGTGGATGCGTCTGTTCTGCAGTGCAGGTGCACTGTGGGACACACCTGATGGTCCTGGTTTTTCGATTGTCCAGAAGTACAGATGAAGCGAGTTCACTGTGACAATTTCCACCTTGTCTGCACTCTGACTTTTCTTCCAGAGATACAAATCCAAATTCATACAAGGATGTTGCACGTCTAGGCCATCTCCTGACACACTTGCAAATACATGGTCAGTGCTGTACGTTAGAAAAAATACTTATTTTTCAGGGGACTGCCTCCTCAGGAGCTGACATTCACAGTTCAAGAGTCCCTGCTGGGTTATAGCACTGGAGTTTACACAAGCAGCTTTTATTGACTGAGCACAGCGGATGTCGTTAACAATCAGAACCCACATGGGCTGCGGGCAGTGTTAGGAGCGGTACGTGGAAGGGTCGCCTCTCTCCCAGCAGCTCCGAGCCCTGCTCGGCACTCGGGGTCGGTGCTTGTGTGCTGTGGTCGGTCGGGCTGTCTCCCCAAGAGAAGGCTCCAGGACTGATCGTTAGTTCCCCGAGAGCCTCTGCTGCTGCACGCCGGAGCGGTGCTTCCCCAAGGAAGGCTGTCAGCAGATTCAGAAAGGGAGGAATTCGTAGAAACTTCTGTTGCTAGTTGTCTACTTGTTGGCTTCAAATTTCAGTCATTGGCATCGGGAAGCCAGAAATAGGTGTGCCTCATCCTTTGTTCATAGCAGAAGCTGTTTGGAAAATAACTTTGTCGGAGCCGTGGCGTGTTTAACTGCACTGCAAATGAAGGCCAGTGAACACTTTTATTACCGTCCTCTGAAGTAGATGATTAAAGCAATTACCTTTCTTTCCTGTCCAAATGCCAAGGAAGGCTTGTCTAGCCTGGGAGTATGTTCCTCCTTTCCTCTCTAGGCAATTTAGTTTTTTGTTAAATGGCATCGTTCTTTTATACATTCTTAGTTTTAATGCCAAATTCTTTGGCTGCACGTTGTGGCTCTTAATATAGAAGTGTTGACTTCTTTGTGGGAAGGGTGGGAGTTGAAGGCTGTGGTTTGGGCGGTGGAGTTACTGTTTCTGACCTCTTACTGAGAAGATCTGTTTCTAGCTAGGAAAAGAAAGCTCTTACTAATTTACTGTCCTGATGCTTTTGTGTTTTGAGTCCTTAGAATACTACATGTGTGTCTTCTCTTGTGAATTTTTGTGTATATTTGATTTCTACATGTGTGTCTTCTCTTGTGAATTTTTGTGTATGTTTGATTTGTTCCATCGACTTTACAGTGCTTAAAAGTGAGAAGTAGATCAAACCACTTTTCCTTAGGCTCATTGAACGGCATTAGCTCCACTGTGGTTCACGTCTACCTCCAAAACACTCTGATTTTTTTGAGCAGTTGAGGTAGCAACTCAAAACCTCTACACAGCTTTCCTAAGAATCTGCTGTGTTATATTTTTGTTTAAAAATCAGAGGTTACTCCTCTAGTCTTCAATTCTTGAAGCAGAAATTTATAATCAATCTAGATAGCTGTGATCAGCCTTGTTGAGAACGTTGAGTTTGTTCATCTCCTGACTACAAAAGGTTTGGTAGTGCATTGTAGAAATGACAAGGAAATACGAACGTGTTTGCAAACTTCATATTCATATTGAAGGGAAAATTGTAAAAGCCCATATGCTCATTGTTTAGCTAAAAATAACAATAAACAACTCTGTCTCTCAGATTCTTTGGGTATATAGTCCTGAAGGAGCGAGAGAGGAAGAGTAAAGCTTTGAAAAGTAAAGGTAGGAAAGGTCTGACACGGGTTCGAGTAGGAGACACTGATTAGCCACAGCATCAAGGAGGACTCAAAATGAGTACTGTTAAGGTGTAGGATAGGCTTCTTAAGCCTTTCCTTCTTGGAGACTTGAAAGTAGATTGAAAAAAAAACCACAGCAGGTTTACTGTAAGTAGAAACCTGCTTGGTAAGACATGAACTTGCACAGAGGTGCTCAGGAGATTAAATGGCTTCATAAGATTTTTCCATTTCTAGCATTATAATACAATACAATAAAATAATGCTTTAAAAGAGTTAGAGCACCTTCACACTGGTAACTCCTGTTTAGTAACACTGTAGTTTTGGAGTTGCATAGAATCATAGCAGAGAGTATGTGCACTTTATCTATGATGTACCAACAGATGTTCGTTCCTAAGATTGTTTCTTCAGGAAGTATTTAGAATTTCCAGTGACTTAGTGCTTGACTGTCACGCAGTACTTTCCTCCTTAGATCTCCAAGCGTTGTGTAAAGGAGACTAGTCGCGTTACCTGAGCGGCATAGATAAAATGTGGGGAAGGGGAGGTGCTGAAGCACAGAGCTGGAGCTGCCTTACTTGAGGTCATCCAGCCGCTCATTAGGAGAGAAAAGAAACCCAGTCACCAAGTAGCAGGCTGGTCCCCGAAGCTGTGTCATCAACAGGGGGTCCTTAGAGCTGGGAGGGGAAGCCATGGGCTCACTGAAGGCAGTCAGCCTTGCCCTCCGCCTCACAGAGCAGGCTTCCCTTCCTGCATGGTATCCACAGCAGAACTGGCCGCTGCAGCCTGTCTCCACACCTCACTTAAAGATGAAGCTTCTAAACCCCGTTGTGTCTTACTACGCTGGAGTGGCTGGCAGTGAGCTCGCACAGCTGGAGCTTGCTGACTGGCTGGAAGAGATGGAGAGCAGCTGGGTTCACCAGCTCTTTCCAGCAACCTCCATTCTGCTTGATGGCTCTCTCGCTTGGGCAGTAAAGGATGCACGCAATCCTTCCCTGCTTCGTTTCCCGAGGGTCCAGTCTTACCTCTGCTTGCTTCTGCTCAGTGGGCAGAAACATAAAGCTTACCACCGTACTAAGGTTCCAACTCTTCCTTCTAGAATGCTAAATTCAGTCTGTTCACTTTCTGAAAACAAAAACTAAGATGTGGCCTTAAGGCTATGTGCCCATTTTACTTTAACCCTAATCCTTCACAGTAGCCTGTGGTGGTTACTTGGAAGCCCTTTGGTTGCACTAATACTCAGTGTGATTGCATCTGTCACAGGAGAGAAGTATTGTGGAAGGGTTTTGGAAGAGACAGGACTGTGATACCCTGCTTCACAGGGCCGTGTTGATCTTGGGAAGATTGATCCGCTCCACTTCATTACCTGATTTACGTTAGCAAAGCAAAGATACCGGCATGCTGGTTTGCCTCATTTCAGCAGGGCTACTCAAGCTTTGAGTCTAGACAGTCTGGGGGATCTATCTTTAGGTTGAGATATGCGTAATCTGTCGATCTAATGATGAGCAAGTGAATGTGTATCTGTACGTTGTGTTTTATAGCACTAGGCAAAAGATTTTCTGGAAGGACAGGGTTGGAAACTGGGTGTGTTGGAATATGTAATTCAAAGAAGATATAGGCAGTTCTTTATCAGCGTCGTTGACAGTGGAAGTGTGCGTGTTATGGTTGTGCTGGTCGCTGCTCAAGGACAAAGGTTCAAGTCACAGGGATGTACCTTAACTCTTTATGTCTTGGTTTTCAGAACCTTACGTTTGTTGAATTCACAGTCTAAGGAGAATCAGGCACTTCTTGAGAATCTAAATCTGCTTTAATGAAATGTTTTCATTCCTTGTGGATGTGTGTATGGTAGATGTTAACAGAAAATAGATGATTGTTGGAATTGGTCATTGCTCATGCGCTTGAAGCTGTTACATATGTTTGCAGCTGGGGTGCACCAGCCACCCAGTAATAGAGAGTGATGTGCTGCTTTGTTCTCGTATCCGTCCCTCTGTTTTCTCACTGCGCTTTGTTGTCATAGTCCTGAGTCAACACGTTTGCAGCATGCCGTTGCAAAGTGTATGAAATAGGAGATTTCCTTTCTTCTCCTTCCCTCCTGATGTTTCAAGGCTTTTAGCAATTCTCTATGTAAAGTGTTGGGATGTGAGAGACAGCTGGCATGGTTTTCCTTTACCCCTCGTCTTGACACCATCTTCAGCTTACATGTGCCCTTCCACCAGTTTCAGATTGCTTCAGACTTTGTATGCCATCAAGGCATTAGTGCTCTAGAAGCTTTTGCGTGCTAAAGTACAAATACTTTCAGGGAGAGATGGGACAAAATCACTGAAGAGAAACCCAGGACAGTTTATAAAACAGGCTGAAATTAAGAAGTCCCTGGGCCACAAATTGTTTGACTCTGTGAGAGTATTCAGAAGGAGTATCAACATGTGCCTGAGCTATTTTCTACGTCACTGTTTTTGTTTCCTTTTATATCTGCTTTTGGCTCCTGCTAGAGACAGGGAAATGGGATACCTGAAACTTTGGCCGGACTCAGTAAGGCAGGTCGTGTGTTGTAATGAGTTGCATGGTCCTGCTGTCCCGTTCTCAAACACCGTGTTCAGTATTGCCCCTTCAGAGGGCTGCCCTCGGGAGCGCGGTCTGCTTTAATATGTCATAAGATCGATGCAAACCAAATGCTCCCCTTGTGTGTGATTGTGCTCTGAAACCCCCCTACTCTGTTTTGAATGGATTCATGCTTGTGTTATGAACTGCACATAATCTGGAAAGACCTATTCTCTTTTTACTGTTGTAGAGGGAAATACCAAGGAGAGCTTTTGTGTCAGTCTAAAAATCTAGCCTGTGCGTTGCTGGTGTCTGAACGTAAAGATGTGGTGTTAAAAGGAAGACAGAGCCACATATCCTAGGAATTTGAAGCCCCTGTTTAGAGTGGGGCCATGTTTTACCAGATATGGTATGGATCAAGACCTTGCCTAACACACCCTGCCATTTCGAGTCACGTTTTACAGCAATGTAGACAAAACACGTGCTGCTTGCTCAGCTCATTATTCTTAACAGGAGATGCGTTCTTTACTTTGAAAGGTTGAGAGTGATAAACGGCGCTGAAGCATTACTATCCTTTTAGAATTGATTCTTTGCTGTGACATCAGGACTTCTGTGACAGTTTTTAATCCTGATGCTTGTCGTGCAGAATTCCTTGCCTAGAAGAAGTGTTAGAGTTACTCGAGAGTGCAGGGGTGTAATGCTGAGTAAAGACATTATGCCTGGTAAAAATCTGCTGGGGTGCCCACTGCTGGTCTGAATTGTGGAAGTGCATAAGTAACTTTGAGCCGAGCGTTCATGAGTTTTCTTTCTACTTTCGTACCAAATTATTTATTTTAAACTGTATTATTTGGTTGGTTTTTCTTGCCCCTGCAGTGAGTGCCAGGGGGCTGGCGGGGGTGTCCGTCCACGCCGCCCTGCAGCATCGGGGCACTTGGTGGCCGCAGGGGAGCGTGACCCCGACCCGTCCTCACTGGGGGAGTGGAGGGGTTCTGAGGAGGACGGCACCAGCTTGTCTGCTGGTCTTCCTTTTCTGTTTTGGTTCTCCTTGGGCTACGATGCAAAAAGTGGTTGAAAAATAGCATTATTTCAGTTAAGTTTTGGTACTCGTTGGGAGCTGTTATGATGTGAGGCTCTTCCCACTATAGGAAGAAATAGGGTGTGATTGCTGCTCAAGCAATTCTTGAATGAGAAATTGAGAAGTGGAGGCTGAAATGCTGCTTATGGTATCAAAAGCATTTCCAGGGTGGAGACTGCACGCTCTTTCCTCATGTGATTTTTTTTTTTTTCCCCTTAAAACAACTGTACTGTATGCATTCTCATTGCAGTCTTGCAATGAACACCTGAATGTTGCAGTCCAAAATGGACATTTAATCCGTATTTCTAGACACCAGTCTTAATGCATGAGTTCCCTCAGAAAATCAACATATCAAAGGCATATATATTTTATCTCCCCTTTATTAAACATGGGGGAATTAATATTACACTCTGAAACAGTGTTTTGGCTTTTTGTTTTGAAGCCACTGCTAATAATGAATAGTAGATTATAAATACCTGTCCCAGAGCTTTTATTCCTTCGCACACAATTCTGTACAGGATCTTGATTCTTCTAATTAATTTCATAAATAAATTATGAGCTGATAATTCATTAGCTCTGTTATCAGGTTGGGAAGCAAGGTGTGACTACAGCTGCAAGGTGATTCTTCAGCTGATTGTGTCTGAGACTGACACAGAAAAAAAATATTCTTGCACTTTTTGGAGGAGGAGAAGATGGGAACAGCTTTGATGGATTTGTTGATAAAGGGTGTCAGAGCTGGTTTGCCTGGAGGGAGCAATGTGAGGAGGATGCTGGGAAACACATAACATCATTATTTTAATAAGCGTAAAAGAAGGATGAACCTGGTAGCATGATGTGGCCAATTTTTCTGCTTTTACAAATGTATTGAGGGATAGATACCAAAGAGGTTACTGTTGAAAGATGACCCTGGGAACTAAAATGTATTACTCCACTTAGCGTGTTGTGATCAATTTTCAGTAAAGAATACTGATTTGATGTGGTGGCTTAACTTTCCACATAGCTTATCTCCAGGTTGTCTTTCACTACTCCAGAGGAGAATTTATTTGCTTCTTTTTCTCCTGTTTCTCCTACCTGTATCTTTATTGCTGTTCCACTTACCATGAAACAGAGGAATGTTTGCAGTAACAATTTTTCCTTTATGCTGTTTAATTGATTTACATAAGTTCATGCTCAGAACAAGGATTTATTTCTCTATTGGTTTTTTTTTTTCTAGTTCAGACTTGGAGGGGGAGGCTAGCCTTGTGCCTGAAATTTTTTAATATGTTGGTAGATGTCATAACAGCTCCCTCTGCAAAACAGTACTTTATTTGTGGATTTTCAGAGCATCACAGTTATGTTAGATATAGTCTTAGGTACCAAAGGTGAGTCCTGAACCAAAGGCTGAGCCTGAGGTGGGAATTTAGAGCTGTGACACTGAAAGCATGCATATCTGATTGCTCCTCAGATGTCTGCTCTTTTTTGAGGATTTTCTTTTTGAAAATGGAATAGTAGCACTTCAACAACTTAATAACTTACTTAGAAGTTGAAGCATTTGTGGATAGTGGTTATTACTGAGTCTTTAATGCACTACATCAGAAGTAAAACCCAAGGCGTTCTGTATCTCGGTACTGTCTCTACAGAACTGTAATGCATCACACCTCCATCACCTATCTCCAGGACCATTGCCACCTAGGGCTGGAAGACTGCTGCTTTCTTAAGGGATTTAGAAATATTCATTGTAATTGGGGTTTGAAGAGTGTGTGGAGGGGAGTGTCTTCTCCTTTGAGGCTATCTGGTCAAAGGAGCCGTAAGAAGAAAATACCAAGACACACCTGACCGACACATGATGAGGGAGGCTGTGAGAAGAACAAACCTGGTCAGTGGCACTAGTTGGAGATGTGGAGTGTGAGGATGCCTGTCTTCTCAGCTGGGAGGATAAGGAAAGGGAGGGAGATAGATGCACAGAGGTGTAAAACCTGAGCAGCTAGTGTCAACGAAGACAACAACCAGAAACCAACCTGGTCAGTCACCGTAGTGGACGGGCTCTGGGGAAGCTGCAGTGACCTGGGACTTTTCACCTGGTGGGGCTGGAAGCCTGAGGGCCCAGGCTGTGGGAGGGGGTCGGCAGGACGGTGCCGATGGCTGGGATGATGCGCAGGGGCCACAGCCCTGTTCCTGGCGCTGGCTGCTGCGGGGCGAGTGTCTGTGTGCTCCCCAACCCGGGTGTGTGTGGGGCGTCCCAGATGAGGCGGACATGGCTGTGGGTGCTGACTGCACCTCGAGTGCTGTGTCCAGTTCTGGGCCCCTCACCGCAAGAAAGACCTTGAGGTGCTGGAGTGAGTCCAGAGAAGGGCAACGAAGGTAGTGAAGGGTCTGGAGCACAAGTCTGATGGGGAGTGGCTGAGGGAGCTGGGGGGGTTTGGTCTGGAGAAGAGGAGGCTGAGGGGAGACCTGATCGCTCTCTGCAATGACCTGGAAGGAGGGTGTAGCAAGCCGAGGTTGGTCTCTTCTCCTGGGTAACTGGTGACAGGACAAGAGGACATAGTCTGAAGCTGCGCCAGGGGAAGTTCAGGCTAGAAATGAGGAGGCATTTCTTCCCAGGAAGGGTCATTAGGCATTGGAGTGGGCTGCCCAGGGAGGTGGTGGAGTCACCGTCCCTGGAGGGGTTTAAGAAAAGTCTGGACGTCGCACTCAGTGTCATGGTCTGGTTGACGTGGTGGTGTTAGGGCAAAGGTTGGACTCGGTGATCCCAGAGGTCTCTTCCAACCTCATTGATTCTGTGATTCTGTGATGGGGATCCTGCGTGAGGGTGCTGCGACGGTAGCCTGCTGTGTCAACGTCCCGTGTGTCTGTCTGTGTCTGTGTGTCTCAGGGATATGTGCTCGGCTTTGCTGCTGGTTGAACTTGCAACCACATCCCTCTGCCTGGACAGAGACCCCTGGGTCTCGGGGTCTGGGGCTGGAGCATCTGGCAGGGCAGCCACACTCCTAACATCCCTTTAACAGGAAAAGTCGGTGTTACACTTGGGTTTTGCAACATACCCTGAAGTCTGACTTGGATGCCACTGTTTCCAGTTTGGCCAGTACTGAGTGTGAAATCCTTTATGTAAATATCCCACTTTGTGTCAGCCTGTACGTTGGGCCACATTTTTGTGATGTTAATCTGATGTAAATGGCGACAGAGGGTGGCTCTGACTAGAGGTTGACTGTTGAATGTGCAGCTTTGTTTATTTGAGATGCTCTCCTGGTTTTGGAGCTAAATCAGAAATAGAACAGGAGTTGGAATTACCTCAGTGACAGAGGTCTCCCAGACTAGTGTCCCATCAATTGAAAGCTAGTGCTTCCCAGTTTGCATACAAGTTTGCTGATTGAATCTCTGATCGTTCTGCAGACTTCCCTGCTTGTAGAGAGTAATTAAAGTGTGAACGCTTTAGTTGCCTTGTGAATCCTGAGCTTCCACTTACCAGAGAAAATCAATAGGTCTTACCCATCGGCTACCTCCAAAAATCTGATGCTTTTTGCTGTGTTCATGGCTAACAGCTTATTTTCCCGGTCTTCATTAGATGTGATTTCGGCAATCGCTGAGTTTTTGCTATAGCACTTAGTGGTACTTGACAATAACGGCACTGCATTGTTCGAAAACTGGAGGTTCAAAGGGGATGTCATGGTTTTGTTTTAGATGCAAGAGTATTTATTAACTAGAAAAGCCATCGTTTTGCCCTTAGCTTTGTATCTTTGCTTCCCTGTCTGAGGTGTAATGTTACCTTCTGTGTTTGAATTCAAGTTATGTCTGTACAGCAATAACTTGCCCATCTTATTTTCATCGATACTTTTAATTAAAGTATGTATGGTTACTGTTGCTTTAAATGTTAATTAAAATGGAGTCGCTGTGCCACAGGAGATAGCACGGATTTATATACTGTCCATAAAACAGTACAAGAGAACTCAGCCTATTGTGGGCTGGGCAAAACTGTTGGAAATGAGTATGCGTGAGTTAAAGTTACATAGAAGAATTTATTTTCAGATGACTTGTCTTTCATAAAATGTTCTGCTGGACTTTTTTTTTTTTTAAGTGTACCTCTTTTTTTTTAATGCTGTTTTTCTTCTTGGTTTACAGTTTTACTTGGCTTTTCTTTTTCTTCATCAACATTTCTGACATTTATTATGTCTTTCTTTTATTTTGTAGAAGAAACCAGCAGTTGCTAATGTCAGCCAGCCCCCCAAAACACAGACAAGTGAAGCATCTTCTGCTGTTAAGGTAATGCATACTTAAGGAGATGGTCTGTTTTCAAAATGAAGAGGATATGATAGGACTTCATCCCCTGCAACGGGATAGAAAAGAGTTTGTTTGCCAGCATTCAGCAACAATGGGATGCTCTTCATGTCCTGCTAGAAATTTCAGTGAATTGAAAAGAGAGAGGAAAACAAGTCAGCAGAATGTTGCCTTTGTGAGGAAACAGGCTTGGTAACATTCTCGCCTTTCACGTGTTCTTTGTTAGTCTCCTATAAAGGAAAATTTTGCAGGGATTTTTTTTTTAAATGAAATTTTACAGGATAGGAAGTATTTCTTGAAAAGGAAAGGCAACCTTTTCTCTTTTGCTGCAAAAATCGATCAAGTCTTTTAATGCAATCAAAAATGCTCCGCCAGTTTTTAGACAACTTTTGGACTGCTGTTTCTTCCTTTTTTTCCCTGCTGTAGCTGTAATGCATCCTGTATGCAAAGTCTCTTTCGATTCCTTAATCATTTTGTTGGTCAGTAATACTTTTCATTAATGTACCTTATCCAGATAAATTTCTAACTTCTTTGAAGAGGTGGGTGAGGTGGTGCAGTTAAGTTGCTCCAGCTAGAGCTGTTCATTTTTTTTAACCTACTCTTAACCTACGGTGAAATTGCTTACTGTAAATTGAATAGGCAGAGCGTTTTTTGCTACCTCTTTATTATGGCCTGAGTAATTTTTCCTTCAGTTGTTAAGTAATAATAACTGATGGCTTGTGTTCTGCTTGGGTTACCTGTGTTTCTGAGTTCAAGATACAGGAACTTGTGTGTGATGAATGTTTGTAATTGCTTAATGCCTGGCTAATACGTGGGTAGTTTAATTTTGCTGTGATGGTATCCTGTAATGTGGACTGCTCCTAAGAGCAAGCACTTAGCTGTCTGGCTTCGTTTTCGTTGCACTGTGTATCTGAACTGCTGTTCTTTGTCTCTTAATTTTATCCCTGTGCTCTTTATTGTTTCACTCTTAAGTTCTTGGCATTGCAGCCAGTATCTACTTGCTGCTTCTGCTCAGTGTCTTCTTACAGGGATTTTATTCACCCATGTATGTGTCCATGTGGTATAAAGAATAAGTGCTGCTTCTTGTCACCTCTCTTTTATATCTGTGCGGCTTCTGTGTTCTACCTAGGAATTTTAATCGGCAACCTTCACATGCCCAATTTCTGTATGACTCAAATCTAAATGAATATTTTAAAGATATTTTACTGAAACAGATGTTCTGACTTCTTTCTATCTATCACAAGCCTTTCCTTTTTGATGTGAAGTCCTGTTTAACTGTAATTTTGTACCAGAGTGTTGTCAGTACTCACGTACCTTGTAGTACCCTATCGGGTAAGTGGAGTGAAGGGTTTGATTCAAGTAAAGTTGTGATCATCAGGAACATTTAGTGGTTGCTGACAAGCAGTGTCTTCTATGTATACATTAACTGCCAAGGTGCACAAACCAGGAGGTCATCTTTACCATTATTAGCAGGCAGCGGTAGAGAGGAAAAACTGAACTAATCTCCTTCCTCTGCAGAAGGTACCCTACCAGCGCTGCTGTGTTTTCTTTTACAGCCTTTTAAATTGTTTTTGCCAGTTGCATAGCTACCAGGAGAGCCAATTTCTAGCTTACTTTTCAATCATAGCTATTAATAGAAGGCACTAATATTTGACCACAATACTGGATCCAGTGATCTTTCTTCGATCTTTGTGTTCTTACATGGTAATTCTATTGATACCAAATGAACTTTTTCTGCTTTTTATGTAGCAGATTTATGGCATTGCTTTTAATGAGTAATTACTTTCTTTTTGTTGCTGGCTGCTGTAGCTTAGTGAAATGAGAATCTTTTTTACTTTCATGGACAATTTATTGAAGCAGTGCTGGAAGAATTCAACAACAGTGGAAATTCAGTAAGAATTATTTTTATTTCGGACTTGACTGATCTTGAATATTTTCAGAGGAAGCTTCTTGATCTTAATGATTTAAGAAATTTAAGGTTAGTTACTTTCAGCTGGCATCCAAATTAATACTGTTTTAAAGGAGAATTCAGTCTGCTTTCTTGTGCAACGAACAGGAAACAACAACAAAAAAAAGAGCAATTACTGAATACCTTTGAGTGAAGTCCCTACTATTTCTGCAGCAGACTGGAAATTCTGTCACAAGTTTATCATAAAAATTCGTTCCTACTGTCAGTATATTTGATGTTGTGGGGTTTTTTTTCTGCTACATACCTTACCTGTTTGTCACTAGATTTTTATTTTATAAACTTCGCACAGACACCTTATTGTGGAGGAGGACATTTTTGAGCAGAAAGGATCTGAAGTCACAGTACTGATTGGATATGTCCAGGGAAATACCTAAATTTATTCCTGTATTATTGTGAAGGTTGGAAAGGCTATCTCTAAATTTTGGGGTTATTCAGAAAAGTATTTAAATGGGCTACCTGAGAACCTCCTTTTCGTGTTCTCCTTAGAGTAGATGTGTCATGGCTCACAGATCCTTAATTTATAGGTGTTCTGCAGAAAGACTCTGGCAAATCATGGGCCTGTTCCTGCAAGTTGCCCTCGGAGCTGTAGCCAGCACGTAGCCCTGCACGTGAAAATCGCATGAACTGTGTCCCTGTGGAGAACAGTGCTGGTTTTCTTGGTAGCACAGGCATGCTAAAAATAGACCAAAACATTAAAAATTGGAAGCTGTAGGAGTACAGAAGCTGCCTGCTATGTGGAAGAGCTGGCTTCGTGTAACGTTATGGGATGCGGTATCCATCACCCAAGGTCATCTTCGTGTTTGAAAAGTAGGGCTGTGAAAGAAGCCTGTGATCTGGAGACCACTGCAAAAGTTGCAATTTGAAAAGCTGTGCAGTGGGCAAAATCATACAGTCATTTCAGAAAAAAAATTCCGTACTTCACTCAAAAATGGGATATTTTCTTCATCAGTCTGTGTTGTTTCTTTGGGTGTTTTCCCCTTTCTACTTCTCTTCTCGGGCTGAGTTTTGTTTCGGCATAGAGGCTATCATGAAAAAATGGTTGAAGGGTTTGTTAGTGGCGTGGGGGGCTTTTTCTTTTAAAAAAAACATACAAAAGCCCCCTCCTGTATTACAGATATTGAGAACTTAGTTCTGTAGCAGAATTTTTAAAAAATTGAAGAGCAGGTCATTATGTGTATTTCAAGAAGCACCTTTTTACTTCTAAGTTAATAGAAATTATGTGGATTTGTTATGCTTGAAAATAGCCCTAATCAATCAAGTTTCAGTGGCCTTAACTGGTACAACCATCTCAATTTCTTTTGGTTAATAGCATTTATGTACTCAGGGAGTCTGGATAATCAGTCCAAATTTAGAGAAGAGGTGTCCCATAAAGTTCTAATAAACGTATCAGTCTGTTGAGGCAGAACTAGTAGATTCCTTCCCCCGGAACCAGTGCTACCAACTCTAAAGGTGGAAGATGAACCCTGCTTGTTGAAAGCTAAAAGTGGCTCCGTCCCCGAGTTGTACCAGCCTGGCAGGCGTTTTGTCCCTGCTTTTGCCGCCTGACTGTGTGTGGTGTCAGCTCGGTGACAGCCGCGTCTGGCGGGGGAACCTGGTCAAGCCACCTCCAGAAGTGACCTCCGAAGGGGGAGATGGGTTTGCTCGTCGTCCCTTGACGCCGAACGCGCAGCAGGGCTGGGGTGCTGAGGGCGTAGCTCCTGCGCAGGCCTCCGCGTCGGTGCTGTCACGGCGCTGTCGGGGCCTGACCCTGCCGATTTGGGTTCCCTCCCTGGGTACGGGCACCGGCAGGCTGTGCCGGAGGTGGGGCGGCCGTGCCCGCTGGGTGGGGAGCACGCCGCTCGGCACACCGGCTCGCCAAGGGCTTGGCCAGCACCTCCGGAAAAACCGAAACCACAGCCTGCTGGGGCAGAAAACAGCCGTATCCTGACGTTCCTGCTGGAAGCAGAAGGCACACGTGTACCGAGTAAGTTAGCTATTCGTACTGGCTTTGCTTTCCTACTGCCTCTGCTTTAGGCTAATTTACATTCGCATTGCAGTTCTTTTCCACACCCCCCCCCGCCCCCTTCCGGGAATTTTTGGGCTGAAAAACACAAGCTGCTCGCTTCCAGGGCTTCCGACATGATCCTATCATCAGCAGGCTTGAAGCACACGAGAGCTAGCTTTGTGTAGTGAATTGGCCTTTAAAATCGTTTTAAAGCATTGGAAACGGTCCTTTCAGAGACTCTGTAAGACCGCATGTTTTACACATTACACAACAAGTGGTTTATATGACACAAGCAGTCTTGAAGAAGAGAGGGACAAGGAAGAGCAGACTTTTAAAGTAGTATCTAAGTTGTTCTATATTTATATTTTTGGCTTGGGTTCTTTTTTTTCTTCATTGCTCACAGCCCACGCTGTTCTTGCTTCAAAAACCCATATAATTTTTTTGGCATACAAATGCAGAGCTTAGTATGCCTATGGCACATACAGAATATTGCGTAGTCAGGGTGTGGGGATCTGTAAGAGCAACTTCTTGGTTGAATTGTGCTTAGATATAATGACTTGCTGACAACAAGAGTTATACTTGATACCGAAAAGATGCTAAAATATCGGATACCACAAACATATGGGAAAAAAATACTACTTTTCAATAAATTGTATTTTATTGTTCTTTCTATAGTGGTAGAAATTGGACAGGTAGGTGTTACTTTGGTGACGCCACTATTTGATTATTGTTACTAGTATACTGACTCCTATTTTCTTCTTTGGCGAAAGTGAAAATAGTGTGTTAAATAACACAGAGTTCTTAAATATTGCAGACACCTCTGCTGAGTTCTTTTTTTGATGACTGGTTTTCTCAATGCTGTATTTTTTTAAATTGACATAAAACATACTGGATAATAATTCCTTTTATGTAAGACATTTTCTTTTCGAGACCAACATACTTTTTACTGTTAGCCTCTTGTATAAAATGGTGCTTTTTTGTTTTTTGTTTTCTTTTTATGGGTGTGATTAGATACGTGGGGTATGCAGAGGTCACGGAAAATTCTGTTCCTGATCTTGGAATTTCAGGGACGAGTTCCTTGGCCAGTGTTTTTCTCATAGCTGTAGTTCTGGAGCTTTGCACCTGAATCAGATGCTCCCAGTTTGAAATCTAGGCAAAGTTGTGTTGCTCTGAAGGTGGTGGGTCTTGGAGAGCTAGGAATGGGAGTAGAGGAGAAACCTCTGTCTCCCGAAAGTAAAGGAGCTGCCTTTTCACTGAGTTGGTCTCCAGTGTGTTCGTTCTTAACGTTTCTGCTCTTTGTTTTCCTGAGGGAGGAAAACCTGGTCTCACAAAAGCTTGGGGCTGTGTCCAGAGTCTCTCCTGCCAAAGGCGGAACCGTGTAGGGAGGCAGGGAGGTCGGGGCCTTGTATGCTCCTCGGGAGCTCTTCATGGCTCCTGATTCTGCAGGAACTCAGCACTGTGCCTGCCTCTATGCTTTGCTTAGGAGAAGTGCTTGAACCGAGAAAAAAAACTCACATTTTTGATACCCAGGAAGGAAGCCTCTGTGAGGCAGGACAAGGCCTCGTGAAGGTGGAAATTTTATATTTTTTTGTTGAACAATAACACGCTTATTCCTCCAGAGCATGCAGAGGGCCCTTCTGAAGCAATTTTGAGAGATCCTGAGTTAAGAGCCAATGCTGGAGCAAGAAGTGCTCCAATCTGGCTCTTTTTAAGTGGGAGTAGTAAAACGGTTTTGAATTTTCCTAAAACGATCTGAGATAAAAAACACCCCACCCCAAGTTATGCAGTGTTATCATTAGATGATATTTTAACAGCAGAGTTCTGTTAAGATTCTCTGACTTGGTGATTTTTGATTATCCTCCTATATTATTTTCAGTTCATTTTGGTAGCCAACACCGTTGTGACAATGTGTGTTATCAGTTCATATGGCTTAATGAGTAATACTTTGTTTCTGCATCCTGGGAGTGAAAAATATAATTTCTAGTTCAGAGTATCACTCGCTAGCTCTTGTGACTGCCAGCCACCCATTTTGAATATTGCCTAGTTTGATTATCGGAATAAAAATAACCGAGCTCATAACCTCGGAGATCTTCAGTCTTCGGATGAAGTCCTCTTTTACATAGCACTGCTGTCTTTTCAAACCTCTCTTTGAAGAATACTGGTTCTGTTTGTAATTCCCCGTTTCTGTTCCAGCTCTGCTGAGAAGGGCTTTGCATGCTGTCCCACGGCGATACTGCAGACCAAGTGACACAAATCCTAGCTGAGCTCAGCGGCTCTCTCTGGCATGTGGCTGGCACCTAATCGCGTGTTTTCCTGGTGTTTTCTTATCAGCTTGCAGTTTGCTGCTGCAGATAGTGTTGGAACATTCTGGTGTTTAACACAACACGCAGAAATGGAAACAGTTAACTGTAGCAATTACAGCTAAATACTAACTTTCTGGAGGACGTAGAACTGAAAAGAGGATTTTTGAGCTACCTCCCAAAAAGGAGAGCTCTGCGACAGTGACCAGCTCATACCTTACTGTAATGCTCTGTTGTGCAGAGT